CAAGTTCATCCCTATCTCTCTCGTAATTGTAAATGAAGCCTTGTGGATGGAATTGAGAAATTTTGGGTTGGGTTGGATCACTAGATGGTCCACTACATTTTTTTGTATGTCTATTAAGGTGTCCCGTCCCTCCTTTGGTATCGGCCGAGAAAATTTTACCACAAGTCCGACACTTGACCTTTTGTCCATTTTTACTTAATTGATAATGTGACCAAACTTCACTCTTTCTTTTGGTTTGAGCAAAATCCTCTTCGGTACACCACTCTAATATGTTAGGATTTTGGGTGTTGGGCATTTGGGTGGATGGTTCACTCGACCCGCAGGCTTGTGTTTGGCTACCTTGGGAAGGAGGAGGAAAAGGAAATTCATGTTGTTGAAATTGGCTTTGTTGAAATTGGGTCCAAGGAGCCATATCATCCATTTGTTCTTGCCCTCCCGTGTTTTGGGGATGAAAGAAAGGGGTGGAAGTGTTTGGAAAGGGCATGTTAGGGGAGGGAAAGGGCATGTTAGGGGGGGCATAGGCATTGAAGTGTTTGGATTTGGTGATTCCCTACGTTTTGACTTGGCTTTTCTAGAGGAGGAGGAAGCGTTCGGGTTTGATGCCATGATTAATTAATAATAATAACAATAAAAGTAACAATAATAATAATAATACAAATAACAATAACAATAACAAAGTAACAATAACAATAATAATAACAATTCACAACAATAATAATAACAATAACAATAAGAATTAGTAAGTAGTTTTTATATAAATTAAATTTTTAAAAATAATTATAATAATAGTAGATTACTTGGATCAATGAGATCCCAGGTAGGAGAGGTTAGGAGCGACGTTGTCCAGAGCCCAAGTCCCGCCTTAGACAGATTTCAACAATCCAAATAACCCACAATTAAAATAGAAAGTAGTTTTTATATAATTAAGTAGTTCCAACTTCCAAGAATATAATAATAATAATAATAATAATAATAATAATAATAATAATAATAATAATAATAATAATAATAATAATAACAAGATTAACAACTAACAATAACAAATTAAAATAAAGTTGAGTTAGATCTTACAATGACGCTTCAATGCTTTCCCAAATTTATAATTTCCCGAATTTATAATTTCCCGAATGTAAATATAACAATTTTTTTTTTGGTAGTAGACTAATAAAGGTAATAATAGTAAAAATGTAAAATTTATAAGAGAGTAGGAATTTTTATTTTTTTTCACAAAAGAGAGCAAGATTGTAGGATTTGTAGGAATTTGAGAATTGAGAATTTGGGACTTGGGAGTAAGAAAATTAGAGAATAAGAGAGAAGAGATAAGTTGATGAATTGTGAAAATTTTGGAGGAAAATATGAGGTATTTATAGGGAATTTGGGTGGGAAAAGGGGTGGAAAACTAGCCGTTTATAGCTGTTGGAAAACGGCCATAAACGACTAGTTTTCCAACGGTAATTTGGCACGGGCCGTGCCGGGCCACCGTGTCGTGCCGCCCGCGTGCCGGCACGGCCCGTGCCCATGTTTAGAAATGAGATTTTAGGGGATACATCTCGGGGTCATACAATGCCGTTTGGAGCCATAGATGATCATTATATGTTGTCATAAATGTTCGTGGTAGGCTTGAGTTAATGAAATCGGTGCAAGTTGTAAACCGGTAAATTGGTCGTTTTAAGGCAAATTGGATGGTTCCACCCAACCAATTGGATTCTCGGAGGGTATCAGGGACCATGGTAAACATTTCGGCAATTTTTATTTCCGGGAGAAAAAAAATTCAAAAAATTCCAAAATAGAAGGCTAATATCCACATTTTTTGAGAAATTTTAGAGATTTTGGCCCGATAAATATTGAAATAATTATAATAAGATCCCATATGAACAACATGACTATGTTATTTCCTACAAAGTAAGGAGCATAAATTAATGATAATCTGAATTTGTGGTCAAAATACTTAAAGTTTAGCCCAAGTTTTTTGTTTTTAATGTATTTATAATTGGGCAGTTTTTAAGAGATAAAGGGGATAGACAGGTTGTGAGATATTCACTATTATATTGGTGGGTTTTATAAATCAGTTTGAGTCAACTTGATTGATTGGGATGCTAATGAGTTGGGTTAAGCAATATGTAATCCTTCTTAATGACGAGTGGTACAAAATGAAAAAATAAAAAACAATCAAAATATATTTTATTCGGTCTTTCAACTTGAGCTTGAGGATTCAGGTTCATTAGTTTTTTAATCATCAATGTTCATAATTTTTGGAGTTTGAGCTTAACCTAGTTCATCTGATCACAAGAAATCTCTCGTGTATCAATCAATTTATTAAGAAGCTAAGCTAAACATGTTAATCTTCTTAGGGCCTATTCTGATTTACTGAACTGAATTGAGCCGAATTAAACTGAACTGAATTGTTTATGAGAGAAGAAAATTAAGAAATGAACTGAATTAGAGATATCGGAAAATATATGTGTGATATATTTTCCGTAGATATCATTTAAGAGAATAATATATTTAATTAGGATATTTATGTTAAGATATTATTTTTAGAATATATCTTTAGGGTTTATGGTTAGACGTATATCTTTTAGGAAGATTGTTTCATATCTTATGAGCTTAGGTTTTGTATAAATACTCAACCTATTGATGAATAATAATCAAACCATTCTATTCTATTTCTCTCTAATTTGTCATGGTATCAAGAGCAGGTTAAATCTTGGGACCGCTCACAAAAATTCCCCCCCCCCTGCCGGTGGGTTAGAAAGTTAAACTCATCGGTGGGATTCAAAATTTTGCTTCCGTTATGCAATATTAATATTTTTTAAATTTTTATTTTTTTGGGTTGGTACACGTATCATATATGTGTATGTGATTTTTTTTTTTGGGAGATTTTTTTTTTTGTGAGTATGTGAGTGGACTTCCTCCACTATAACACATCTTTGGAGATGAAGAAATTAAAAAACGACTCTCTTGTGTCGTGAGACAAGATATATTTGGTTCTCCTTGTGCCGTGAGACAAGGTTTGTGAGTTGATTTGAGCATGATTTTTCTCTTTTGAATTTGAGTTTGGTTTTACTCTGAAAAACTAATAAAAAATTTGAGTGTGGTTTACTCTGAAAGACCAAGAGATTTGAGTGTGGTTTACTCTGAAAGACCAATAAAAGATTTGAGTGTGGTTTACTCTGAAAGACCAATAAAAGATTTGAGTGTGGTTTACTCTGAAAAACCAATATTTGATTGGAGCTCGGTTTTGCTCTAGAAAAACCAAAATTATTATATTTGCAGGTTCGAAAAGAATGACGTTCCTGCTTGATTGATTGATGACTGATGAGTTCGAAAAGATGAACGTTCTCATCATTGAAAAAGAAGAAAAAAAATTGAAGGCGACATCACAAGAGTGTGCATCTCGGTTTCAACAAAGTGAAGAATTTCCAATCGCAACGTTCGTGTTACTGCCGTTACGATTGCGGGAGGGTGTTAGAGATATCGGAAAATATATGTGTGATATATTTTCCGTAGATATCATTTAAGAGAATAATATATTTAATTAGGATATTTATGTTAAAGATATTATTTTGAGAATATATCTTTAGAGTTTATGGTTAGACGTATATCTTTTAAAAAGATTGTTTCCTATCTTATGAGTTTAGGTTTTGTATAAATACTCAACCTATTGATGAATAATAATCAAGCCATTCTATTCTATTTCTCTCTAATTTGTCAACTGAACTAAATTGAACAGATTTGAGCTGAACTGAACTAAATTGAATTGTTTATGAGGGAAAGAAATTAAAAACTAAACTGAACTTAACATAAATTAAGTTGAAGAGAACAACCCCTAAAATAACAAATTAAAATAGTAAATCATATCATTTTCTTGTTTGATTATAGAAAAAAAGAATTTATACTCAAATTACATTTTAACTAGTGGTAAATGTATTAAGTTTAGAACCTTATTTTTTTGGAAAAAAAAAGTGCCGACACAAATACACAATTAAGCAAACAAATAAGTGCCGACACAAATACACATTTAAGCAAACAAATAAGTTAAATGAATGAATAAGTGACGCTAAAAATTATGTGTTTAAAAAGCAGACTCCATAGGTATGCGATTATGTCAACCTAACATATCAAATTATCAATGCAACATTCATTGATCATTAAATCAGTACAGTCATCACTTTGATATATAATGATATGTTATGCATTTAAAAATTAAAAATTAAAAAATTGTCTTAGCCCGTGTTCGAACCGGGGACCTCTAGTGTGTGAGACTAGCGTGATAACCGACTACACCACCCAGACTGACTTGCTAAATACTGTGAAAATTTTATCAGTATAAAAACAAAAGTGAGTTTATACTTTATTAAAATGCCAGAATTTTGTTTGGCAGAGTGGCATTGTGTAATTGTGTTACAGGTCGTTTTACATAAATTAATTAAGTAACAATGGGGAAAATTTGTGTTAGTTATGACCACAATAAAACAATTTGTAAAATAATGAAGATAAGCTGAGGTTGCTTCTGTCCATTTGTCAAATGCATGCAATTTTCCATATTATTAAAGTTTTTTTTTATTATTCTACCAACTACAGAACACCTAGGCTAGATTCTAACAGCTTGATGACAAGCTAATATAAACTACGAGTATAAATAATGAACAAATAATTGGGAGTAATTTATTCATATTTTTCCATTTAAATCAAATCTCATCTATATTAATATCTTGTTTCGGGTTCTTTCTCCATGACTAGTCCACCAAAAACATGGGTCATATGATTCATGTGCATGGTAGCAAATCATCATTGTTCTCGTACGTTGAAGCACAATAGTACGGACATACGAAAGAAAAATGTCATAATTCCACTGTTAAATTAGACCGATTATTTGAAGACCTACTAGAGGCGCCGCGCGTGACATGATACACTATCATCACATAGCAAAAAGTCAACGATGAATACTAATCAATTACGTGCTAAATCAACATAATATAACATTCCTATTTATATATATATACTTCATGAATTGATATTCCTCCTACCACCTTATTCATTTTTTCTCCACTAAAAAAATATGGACATTCTTAGTCCTACACTATTACTCTCCTTTCTCTTCCTCTTCCTTCAACCACCAATCACGGCGGCCAACTCCGCCGTGTACACATCTAAAACCACTTTTTTTTCCGACTACGAAAAAATGATGACTAACCTTAAAATCTTCATTTACCCAACACCTAACCACCAGCAATACGACTCAACTCCTTTCTCTCTTCTTCATAACTCTCTTTTAGCATCTAACTTCCTTACTCACAACCCTAACCAAGCTACTCTCTTCTTCCTACCTTTCCCTCCTTTATCCACGCGCTCCCTCGACCGCCACATCCAGCTCATCCGAACGTCATTCCCTTACTGGAACCGTTCTCTTGGGGCTGACCATTTTTACTTTTCTTGCCAAGGGGTTGGTCCTAGCTCTAGTCGAAACGTGGTTGAGTTAAAGAAGAATGCTATTCAGATCGCGTGTTTTCCTGTACCCGCGCGTGAGTTTATCCCTCACAAAGATGTCACCCTCCCTTCATTCTCCCTTCTACCACGCGCGGTACAAAATGAGGGTGTTCCCACGCGCTTATTAGGGTATTGGAGCTTTGCTGAGGTTCAATCAAGTGTAGAGTTGATCAATGGGTTCAGAAACGATGGTGAGTTTTTGATCGAATTTGAGCCGTCGGATGAAGGGATGTATGTGGAAAGGGTTCAAAATAGTAAGTTTTGTTTGTTTGTTTATGATGTTGAAGGGTTGGAACGATTGAGTGTGGCATTAGCACAAGGATGTGTTCCCGTGGTAATTACAAACCGTCCAATGCAAGATCTACCGTTAATAGATGTTATTAAATGGTCAGAAATTGCAGTGTTTGTGAGTTCGAATATGGGGTCAATTGAATTAAAAAAGGCGTTGATTCACACGTGCGAAGATGGGACGTATGAGAAGATGAGGCAATTGGGTGTAGCGGTGACACAACATTTTGCATGGAATGAGTCGTCACCAAAGCCATACGATGCGTTTCATATGGTGATGTATCAACTATGGGTTAGAAGACATAGCATTAGATATTCTAAGTGGAAGATAATGTGAGTAAACGGCGACTGTATGATGTGACCATGAATCATGAATTCATGATCATATATTTTACCAAACCCCTTAATTAATTGTTATTAATTATAATTAATTAGTTTGGTGGAGTATTGTTTGATTTGTTGTTGGTTGTGGAATATTCTAGGGTAGAAGAATAATGGGGTGGAGAAATAGCTTAGGCATGTGGTGATGGTATAGATTGGCTATAAAGGTTACCTTTGCATTTGAATTTTCTTTTGAATGGCCTAATCTATACTTCTTTAAAAGCAATTGGTACGCTAAACACGTCTCACCAAGTCAATTTAAATTAAAATGTTTTAGTTGCACTATCCACCATATATACATTTTAGTTTTTGTTTGATGATCTATTGGTTACTAGCTATAGCCTATATATGTGTATTTTCAAATATTTCCCTCACATTTTGTTATTATATAAAAAAGGGCATGCCTTTTTTTTTTTTTTTTTTTTTTTAGAAATAAAAAAGGGCATGACTTATCACCTATGTATGGTTGTGAATTGTGATATTTGAGTTATGTGAATTTATTTATTTTTTGGGTGTTAGAGAGCTACAATAGCGGATGATGAGAATCGATTCAAAGATCTCTTGGAATTGGGAGGAGAGTTCTAACCACTTGAGCTATCTATCGCTCTCAATTATATATAAACTAGATGAAGCCCGTGCGATGCACGGGTCGATCTATTTTTTTCTAAAAAATATTTGTTATATTTATGTGATTATATTTGTTATTTTATTAGTTGTACGTAATATATCATTTTCTCCGTATTTGTTTTAAAATAATAGATAAAATTCCTAATCTCAAAAGATAATATTTCGTATTTAATTAATGTAACCATTAAAATCTCATTGGTCAATTATGCTTATGTGGCACTTGAATTATTTATTGGATATAACTATAATTTATAATCTTACGTGACACGTTAACTAATTTTAGGTGGCATAATCCTATTGCAGCGTTTTAAAAATATTAATCATATGTGGCGCTCTAATAATTTTTTAAAAATAAATATCCTACATGGCGCTCTAAAATCTCGGGAAAAAACTCCCCTTTATATATATATATATATATATATATTAGATTATAAGATTTATTTATGATAAATTTATCATATGAAGTGCACGTGAAGATCATCTTATAGGCAAAAATCACTTCCACTTAACACACCAACCATTAGTCCATATTGTCCACCACTAATCTATATAAAAATTTCACGCTCAAATTATTATTAATAATATTAACCTAAATTGATCACATGAGAAATTCCCAACAATAATACGGCACTCAACTCCAACTCCTCCATCAACCATCGTATTAACATCTAGATATTATCATGGTCTTTGCCACACCACAAATCACACACCAACAAAGCGGTTGTAGATCATAACCAATTTGCTTATAGTGATGAATCAAAGGATTGATCCGGTTACTACCTTATTGTCTTACCGCTTTGTCTTAGCCAATATCAATTTTTTCAACTCCTTCCAACTCTCAAACCTTGTATTCCAAAATAAACTCATCTTCTTCAAAAATCTTCCGCTGGCTTGGGCCTTCTTGGAGGAAGAAAAGTCAAATCACGCTTGAATAGATCTAGAGGCAATATATACCACTTGTATTTTCTATCAACTTTTCTAAAATAAAATTGTACTTCATATACAGATCTTAGACTTGACTTATGATCATATTTCACTCGTACTTGTGTCCAAACATCGAATAGACGAATATGCCAAGAAAATGCCATGACATGCTTCAAATGGCAAACTATCAACAAATTACCCTAAAGACGAACTACAACCTCCCATTGCTCCACTTCTTATAACGAGTACGATCTAAGTGGAGTTAAATTCACAAATCATGATTGTCATAAAAACTAGCACGACATCTCTGAATTGTGCCCACCTCAAATAGAATATAGGACATCAATTCAAAGCCACTTTTAACTTTTGTCGTTTAATCAAAAGCAAATCTACGGTTAAAGAACGAAACTTTGTGTTGGGTTGCGGCAGCAGCCACTCTTGTTGCTCACTCCTTTATCTAATTTCATCTCTTTCTCTCTCCTCACCAACCTTCATTCACTCAAATCCTAAAGCTTTCATTCATCATGTCAGCAGGTAACAATTTATAATTTTGATGTAATTTTCATATCATACAAGTTTATTTCTATAATGGGTAATGATATTTCTGCATAACTATGCATTACAATGAAGAATTACATTAAATTTCATCTGGGTTTCTCTAAAAATGCAGTCTTTGATTTAATATGTTCAACTTCAATGAAACTTCCCCTGTTTTTTTTTTTTTTTTTTTTTTTTTTTTTTTTTTTTTTTTTTAATTTCTGGGTTTTTTCAATAAATCGTAGAGGGTGGTGATGGATTGGCGGATCCTAAGCCGTCGCCATATGAGGAGGCAATGAGTGCGCTGTCATCTTTGATTACTACTCGAACTCGTGCTGAGAAGAGCAATAGTGGTGATCGCTTTGAGTTGCTGTTTGATTATATTAAGGTTATATTTCTGTTATTATGCTAATTTTCATATCATTTTATCTTAAATTAGTTGATTATATGATTATATTAAGGTTACATTGTTTTGTTATCATGCCTGATTTACAATTCATTTTTGTCTCAAAATTGATTTTTTTTGGGATTATTAGGGTAATGATGTATATTGGGTTTGGGTGGGATTTCGCAGATATTGGAGTTGGAAGAACCAATTTCTAAGTTGAAGGTTATACATGTGGCTGGCACCAAAGGAAAGGTATTTGTCTTCAATCCTTTTATGTTAATTAGACAATGAATTTGTTAAAAGAACATGTACTTGTCATACACTCATACAGAAACATATCTCCGTGACATATGGAAATGTTGCAATTAATTTGAAACTGAGGGAGTATTTCTGAAGTGATTTCGTATTTGTGGTTTGTTGGGTTACTGAATTGTATAACAAAATGTCATTAAGCAGGCTGCATTGTAGTCTCTCACAAGTCAGCTGTAGGATTATTGATCTTTCTTGTCATTAAGAGAGAAACGATTAACTTGTGTTATAGACAATAAATAATGGTTATTTTATATGTCCATTTGCATAGGGTTCGACTTGTGCTTTTACTGAGTCCATATTACGCAATTATGGCTTCCATACCGGGCTTTTTACATCCCCACACTTAATGGATGTCCGCGAAAGATTTCTATTAGATGGGTAAGTTATAACGTAATTTTTCTTTTCATACACATTAACTGTTCTAAAATTGTATGAAGTTGAGTCATGCTGCACATGTTTATGTTACCTTGTAAATTGACAAGCATAATACCAGCCATTGCCTTATAATTTATAAAATAAGAATTTATTTTTCATTACAAAACTCATCATGTTTTGAGTTCTTTTATATCTTTCATGGCTAATTATATTCTTGTTTGTATGCCATGTTGATTGAGTGCTATCTCTTATTCAATCACTGATTAGCCAAACATGCCTTATTTTGTAGCTTTGTCAATTGTCATCATGAGTGTGGATGAGTATGGATTACAGTGTGAAGTCGCGGGGTGGGGGAGGAATTTATATATGTATCATGGTTTCCTGGAAGAAATGAACTTTTATGAGGATAAGCTGGTACAAAAGGTTCCTTACAAATTCAAGGGCCAAAAAAGTGAGTGACAGTGAGAGCTGTTTTGGGAAAATAAAATACATTAGAGGAGCATATTCTTCATAGAGAAGGCTTTCTATGGAAATAAATATGCTACTGATGTGATTGGTCCAATCAAAAGGCTTACCATAGGGAGGTTTGACAGTTGGAAGGAGTAAATAATCATTCTAAGTTGCTTAAAAGGTTTTTTTTTTCCCCTTTTAATTGTACATTAGGGACATATAGTTCATGGGTTAAGCACTTACTATTGGTTAACATTGGGAATGGTTAAGGAGAATTTTGTGAGGAACTGGTTTTAATCTTTGATATGTTGCAGGACAAATCTCTTTTTCTTGACGGGAGTTTTTGTGATTTTTTATGGATTCTTGATAGACCGGTTGAGTTGATCTTATGTTTCATTTATAGTGCTTTAGCTGTTAATGTCACAATATAAATAGGTAAGAAGATGAGAAATTTTTCATCGATAGTCTTATTACAGTGTTCATAAGAACGCAAGTGGGGTTCTCAGCATTTCAGTAGCCTGGGTTGTTTATATCTTAGCTGTACTTTTTAATGGTGGGTTGACTGCTTTTTGATATGATCTTAGTGACTAAAGTGGTGGAAGAGATTCAAATATTGAAGTTGATTAGGATTTTCATTAATGGTGTTGTTTGGTATGCCATTGATAAGTTAGTTGGGAGAAAAGGTTTTGGAGGTGATAAAGTTGGTGTACTGGGGATTTCTTCATTGGTATTTCATTTATTTCATGTTCATGTGAATTGGGGGGAGGGGAGGGGGGTGGGGGGACACTGGGATTTTGGGTCTGGTCATCAATGTAAGTTTGAGTTAAGAGAAGCCATCCTACGACCTACGGTGATTTTGAAGATTAATGTAATTTAAGTTTAGTTATGGAGGCCTGATTGTTTTAAGGTAAGTAGATCAGGATTCTTAGATCTAGTTTCCTTTCCAAGGCTTTACCTCAAGATAATCATGGATGCTTTCATCTTTATCTGAATTATGATTTTTTTGGCTTATGCTCTTCAAGTAAGTTAAGCTACAAAATTAAGCCAATTCAGATGGTAAGTCGTTTAATGGAAGTTAGTCTCTCCCTTATTTAGGTGTACTTTTTAATATTGGAGAGGTGAGGGGTTTGTCATCCAAGTGTCTTCTACTTTAAGGTCTTTTTGGAATCATGTAGTGCCTAATTCGAAAGATAAGTAACGAACTGACAATTGAAAGTGTAATAGGTTTTAACTTGGAAGAGAAACATCTGCTTTGCCTATAGATTTTCCTTAAAATTTGTACCATTCCTATTCCCCATTTTTTGTGGATGAGTTGGTAAATTTTCCTGCCTTTTTTTCTTACACCATTCCGATGTCCCTGTCCTTGTCTAACTTCCCTTGGACGCCTATAGCCTCCATCTTTGGAGTCTAAGCCTTATGTACCTGAACTTGAATTAATTAGTCATTTGATGGAGAATGTGTTAATTTGGGTTGGATTAGCAAAAAATAAATTAATATCGGCGCTATGCTCTTTCAGCCTATATTTGCTAAAAGAGAATAACATCATTTTGTCTGCTATCACAATCAGAATTATGGAATAGTGTTGCTACTAACTGATTGTTTATATGGCTTCCTGTAGGCATATGTTACTAAGAAAGTAGCCTTTATAGAAGGGCCTCTATAATAGGATGAACTATGAAATGTGTGATTCTTTGTTGATGTGGACAACTCCCTTCTTCTACTCATATTTTCCTCTTTATATTTATGTGAAAGAAACAGGTTCT